GTGTATTGTATACTAAAATGAATGTTTTTAAATCCGATTTTGCCATTTATCAGTCCCTTAGGCCCGTTTTACGAGATTCTCAACTATTACCGGTCCCGGAAACTAAAGATGTCTTTTGTTTGCCGTACATTGCAGATAGAAATATGAATATTTTTGGAATTAAAGCAATAAAAAATATCAGGAAATTAAAGAGAGTAGACGGGTTTTAGATCAGAGAACTTCATTAGTTTTCCTAACATTTAGTTTTTTTAAAATGACATTCTGCCCGCTAAGTTTCCGAGCCTTCGAGAAACAGGCCACAGATCGATCAATTTTCCCCTCAAATTTGTCTAACGAGAAGTAACCACTGATTAAAAGGTTATTCGTTCAACTGACAAATACGGTCAAACCTCGAGCTCTTTCTGGTTTGACTCATTAATTCCGCGGCCAAGTTCAGTTATTCAAACCTCATACAAATCAATTATTGAGTGACTGCGGATGACAAGTGACATGCGTAGAACAGTCGAGCCGTCCCGCTTGTGACGAATCCCATATGGAAGGAAAGTAAGGGGTGCTAATTCAAATTTTTAACCCCTACACCAAGCGGTCAATCGTCAATGTCCCGAAATTCTTTCCCCTTAAACTCTGTGCTTTTCACCTCTGTTAAGTGGTTGTGGTCATCCTTTATTCCAAGGCTTGTTTCTAAATACCTTCTGCCTGTATTGAACGGTCTTTTGAAGCGCCACCACTCAAATAAAACTAAGCACAAGCTTTCAAGTATATTTAACCCATGTTTATCTTCTGAAATCAAGCTTGTAGTATTTTTGAGCGAGGAATTTGTAAATTAAGTGGTTAGTTATGGCATAAAATGAAATTTTTTACAATACCATACCCCTATTCTGTGGAATACGTATTTAGCGGACAACCTGTATTCAGCGGTCACCTCGCCATTCTCCGTCGGTAACCGCTTAATACGAGGGTAATTTTCTATTATCGACCGAGTTGAAAGCGTAAATTGGCCAGCGTGAAGAGCTTAAAAGCTGACGTTTCGAGCGTTAGCCCTTCGTCAGAGCGATTGTCAGTTGATAACACTAAATTACCCAGTTATACTCACCCACCGACCCAGCATCATAGTTTCTTTAGAAACTCAGTTAACCCCTTTATTCACTTAATACCAAGTTCGACTACGGCTATACCAGTCTAAGAG